CTTTGCAGATCGATAAAGAATTAATTGACTCATCGAGGTGACGTTTCCTCCTGTGTGGTGACGCCTTGACGATCATAATTTGCATGATTCTTGCACGAAAACAAAGTTCGTATGACGTCGTTTTACCGTACGCGCGTTTTCTTGTCGCGTGACTAATAACAAGCTACTCTTCGAGATCGTCTGTAACAATTTGGCTGGTAATTGCAGTTGACGATACGTATTACACGGCTCTCTCTCTCTCTCTCTCTCTCTCTCTCTCTCTCTCTCTCTCTCTCGCGGACCCTACATTGTTGAGAAAATCGATATTTTTATGGGATTTATCAGTACACGCGAAATTACATGTTGAAAAATCACGCGAGTCAATGAACGCAAATGTTAACATTACATCGACGTATCTTATTTATTTACAAAATTTATTTACAATTTTCCGTATTTATGCAGTTGCGTGTATCGTTAATGGGTGCCGATTAAACAAGGTAATGAGCATATTTATCAAAAATTTCCTTTATACGTACGTAATTTTCTGGTATATTTTTGCAAAGTTTATTAAAATTGTGCTACGATCATCGGGCGCTACCCAAATTTTTTAAAACGCTTGTAAAAATACAACCAATATAAAATTTAGAGTGACATAAATGGCTAGATAACAATATGCCAAAGCTAATTTTGCTGTTAAAGTATTAAATATGTAAGAATAACCATATCCTCATGATTAGTGCGTTGAATGCTTTTGTATTTCATACTTTTCATTCCACCGCATTGTTATCTATAGCTATTTATGTCACTCTAAATTTTATATTGGTTGTATTTTTACAAGCGCTTAAAAAATTTTGGTATCGTCCGATAACCGTGGCACTATTTTAGTAAAAATTCGCAAAAATAAAAGCATTGAGTTTAATAAATCTAGTGTATTACTTTAATTATATATACTTTATTGTTTTTTAATGTATTAATATAATTTATATTATGATAAGGAAATAATATAAGGCTCAAATTGATTAAAAATCAAATTTAAAAAATTTAAGGGCTATGAGCAACAGCTAGTTATTTTGCTAATCATTAAATAACTAGCTGTGGTTCGTAGTCCTTAAATTTTTTTAGTTATAATTTGTATTGTTTCTTTAAAGTATTAAACCCACTTAAGGTGGTTTTTTAATAAATCAAGTTAACATAGAAATGTCTAATTTTTTTATATAATGAAAGTACCGAAATTGACGTGTACAAAATTCTAATAAGAGAGAAAAAATGTTGAAAATATAACCTTTCACGTATAACTTAGTGATAAGGCTCACAGACGCTTCTTTGACTAACTGCACACAAATCTTACCACAGACTTTTCTCAAAAACGAGATTATAATAGTCCAAAAAATTACGATTTTAATGATCACAAAAAAGTAATACGTCAATGGCTATATCTGGAAAGATATTTACATGCATATAAATTTAACCTCAAAAAGTAAACATAATCTCATCTTGTTTCCGTCCGATGAAGACGCAGAGTTCTTGATTTACTATCGTATGTTCTATACTATTTCATTAAGATGTACACGTAGTTTTAATATTTTATCCAAATTATGCAGATATTTGTAATTTTGGGTGGGCCCTGGTCAGGCATCTCAAATTTTCGGCACTTTACTAAAGAACCACCTTAATAAAATCATTCTTAACCCTTATCGTACCAATATGGGTAACTAGTGACCAAGCGATTCCTGTTCGTGCAAGTTTCTTTGAGTAATTATAAATTATACTACATTTTATTATTTTCCTAAATAAAGATTCAATATTTATTCTAGAAAGTTGAAAGTATGTTGGTGAATTTTTAGAGATTTTTTGAATTATTTTGAAGAGATGAAAAAAACGAAAAGATTCTAGTGACCCTTGATGGTATGGATGAGGCACTAAATTGTACACGGTACGGTAAGGGTTAATTGGATAAATAAAAACCACAAGTGAGTGGAATTTTCCCACGTCATTTGTAAATAATATGCGAGCGACATGACAGTCGAAATAGTAATCGTATTTTATATATATACATATTTTATCAGTGCTTATGCTAATGAGAATTACGAGTATACTGCGGCATGCGCAGTAAGGTATAAGGTTAATAACGCGTTAAATTAAAAATGACTCGTCGAAACAGGAATTCGTTTACATGAAACTTCCTCGGATTACGTCGGTCGAAGCATAACCGACAGAATGATCCATCGTAAAAATCTCTAGCCACTCTATGCGAAACACGCAAAGGCGTCTCCGGATAATCGTCGCTCCGACAAAAAAGTTGACTGTCGAGCTCCGTGGAAGATAAGAGGAGGCTAATACAGTCTGTCTTATCTCGACAGCACGTGGAACATCCGGCCGGTTTAACCCTCTCTGACTCGAAATACGTTTTTCGCGATTTCGTCCGATATTCGCGTTTCACAAAATTGTTTCGAAGCGGAAAATAATAGGAATAAAAAGAATTACGTCTGCCCGAATCGATCGACTCTTTAAAGGTTTCGTTGCGGTAACTCGCAAAGATACATTCATAAATTTCGACCCCATTGAGATATCGAATAAAGTCTCGATATCGTGGATAAAATTTTAAGGACGGCTCTTATAAGAAAACAATGCACTGGCGCGACGGATAGGATAAAGTTCCTTTTTACGTCGTGTTCTCGGGGGAGCGTAGTTTATTTTGAGGCGTCGCAAGTTTATCGACGACGAATGAAAGTTTAAGCGGTTCGCCGTTACGTAAAAAAAATTATATATAGTGTGTACAGAACATTTGTATAGCGCGTGCTTTTTTAAAAGCAGATACGTCGGACTAGCCAGGATATTTGAAAGATAGGTTGATTTATACGAAGAGGTTAGCTAATATTTATCTTTTTTTAGTTTTTTCTCTTAAGAGAACTAAAGATGTACGTCGAAAACTTTAGTTGCAGGCTATTCTGCTTTTATTGTACATCAACTCAAATTTCAACTTATTTATGTCCATTTCTACTAATATAATTTAATTTTAAGAATATGTCAGGTATATATTCTGTAAAAAGTGATTGGAATTGGAAATTTATACTTTTCGTGTAAAAAAATGAAATTTATGTACATATAATGAAACAGTTCAATAAAGTCAATATTTATATTTAGCAATACAATTTATAGTTTAAATGAATTTTTTAAATTTAATTTTAATTATTTTCTGAAAACAAAAAATCTTCCTTATTGAAATAATTTTTGATCCATGTTCTAAAACTCTTTGTATTATTTTTAAATACAATGTAGACAAATTTAATATTTTCATTTTTGTTAAAAAATACGTGTTTTTGTTATATTTTAAATCAAAAAATACAATGAATTATACCAAATCTTATTCAAGAAAAAATTTGTAAGATTTAAAAAATGAACTTTCTTCTAAGAATTAATTTACTTTGGTAGAAATGGATATTATTCGAATTAATGCCGACATTGATACAATACTCGATACATGAGATATCTTTATTTTTCTGTTAAAATCAATGTTAGAATTAATGTAATCAGGATTTATATAGAGAGAAGGGGCAAATTAGAGGTGAAATTTTTTAAACTAAGGGGAAAGGTTATCGAGTGGTATGTACTATTGTACTTGTGTGTTTTTTGTTTTAAATTTATGGAAAAACCGATTTTATTAAAATATCTAAAAATTTGGTATTGATACATATCTAAAAATAATTTTATTGGATCATTAAATTAATTATGTGGGAATCTCAAATATGATGAGCAATGCTGCAAAAAATTATGATATTCTGATAACTAGTTTGAGTATTCTACATAATTATTTTAATGGTCTAGCAAAATTATTTTCAAATCTGCGTCTAAATTTTTAGATATTTTTAGTAAAATCGTTCTTCTTTTTCGTGTTATCATTTTTAATTAATTGCTAGTAATTAAACCACAAAATTGAACATATTTAATTTACTATTTTACTTTATTTTTTCTTAAAGTTGTAAATTGATTCTTCGAATTGGAAAAATTTAAATTTGTATAACACTGGTTATCTTAAGTGATTCTCAGAAAATCTTTTTATAACTTTCATCTCCGATGCTTTCTCCTTTTTCAAGATTAATTTTTTGCGAATACTCATTAAGCTTAGCCCATTTAAACGATTGTAATTATTTTTATCCCTATTTAAACTATAGCTACTTCTGTGTATTACAATTTTATTACGACTTTAAATATTATTGTATTATTATAGAGATGCGATCTATATACTAATTCACTCTGTAAATGCTTTGAGGCATTGATCTTTGATTGGTCAATTCGTAAGATTCTTCTGATAAACAAAGCATTTACAGCGTCAAATGCGTCGCATCCTCTTAAACCGACAAAAATTAAGATGAAAAAGATTCCGCGAAGTTTTCATACACTTTCGAAGTTCTCTGCTGGTCGATCGCGACCTGCTTCGAAATCGCCGGGTGTCGCGCTCTGTCGGCGTCGCGACGCAACATCGTCGACGTCGTTGCAGCTTCCTTCCGGACCGAGTCTAGCAAGACCGCTCGAGCAAGTCGGACCTGCGTCTGTCCTGCTTCGGGTATTGCACCATCTCATTAATTTTTTGCTCAAAAGCGTTTCCGGCTTCAACTGTAATTTGCATTACATTATGATTTTGACAAAATTGGCCATCCAACTAAGTTGGAACCTGGGCCATACAAATGAAGAAGAATCCTTCCGGACCGCCGTCACCGACGTCTCGCGAGAGAGGGGAAGTTCTCCCCCGTTATGAAAGTCACGAGAAATCGCATGAGAGAAGGAAGGAGCGGATGACGTCGAAGATGTCAAAATGCGTCTGCGCTCGGCGTCGCAGCGCATGCGTTTCCGCGGCGTCTGGACGCCGAATACGAACGAAGCGCGCGATCGTGAACGGAAGAGAAAGAAAGAGAGAGAGAGAGAGAAAGGGGGAGGGAGAGACCGATCGGAATCGCGCACAGCTGGCACTGGCTGGCGATTGATCCCGCGCGGTCGGCAGTCAGTTCAGAATTCAGACGGACCAGCATACTTGGAGCATATGGTGGGGGTTGGAGGGGATGATTTAGAAAAAACAGACTTACAGTGGCGAGAGACCGTTTCCTTCCAAGTCATCCCCTCCAGACCTCCACCACGCGCCCCAAGTATGTTGTTCCGTCTGAAATCTGGCAGATCGGATCTCAGAAAAAGGCACTGCATCGCGAATTTAGTCGTTTGCGAACCGCCGCGCCGTATGAATCGGGCTGGTGTCGCCACCTGACGTGCGAACGAGTACGCCGAATGGAAACGCGGTGAACGAGGGCGACCGAACAGTCCGGACTGCTCCTGACCTGACGTTAGTCATCCGGAGGAGACGAGGTTCTCTTCTTCGCTCGCGCGTGAATCCCGTACGCGTCATACGCGATTGTCCGCGCGCGTCTTCCTGTCATTCTTCGGGCGTCAGCACTGTCAGCAGGCCAAAGCCATTCGGTGAATTCAACGCGATTTCGTCAACATTTCCCAGCGCTACCACTGGGTGGGAAGCGGAGGAAGCGCCACTCGCAAACCGCTACGCAAACGGTCATCTGTCCGGGGTTGAAACGTTGACGACGGAATACGCGTATACTCCGCGCGCAAACGAAGAGGCGGCCTGGGTGGCCGCGGTGCGACGTGATCCAGGTCGGAGTATGTGAAAATGGATTTTAAGAGCGTGGTGTACAACGCTGCGAGGGACGGCAAGCTCAAGCGTCTCAAGGCAAGTGCCCCCCCCCTGTTGATGCATAATGTCGCGAAACACGATGGAAACCCACCAACCTTTTAACACTAACTTTCGACCGAACCATTGAAACCGATGTAATCCGGACGAGTCGAATATCGCACAACGTGAACACGCGAAACTGATCCCCATTCTTTCGCGACTGACATTTCGAACGCGTTCGCTTTCATTGCAAAATCGGACTGCTTGTCTATTCTTTTCGGCTGTACTTCTTACACGGTCCATTTTTTTATCTTCTTTTCTCAAAGTGAAGAATCTTTCCTCTTTTTCTTCATTTTAGAGAAAAAAAGATTTTAGAAAATGATGCGTGCAAGAAATGCAGCTAATAAGCCTCGTAGACAAAAGTCATAATAGTTGTCATAATAGTCTTATTTTTTGTAGCTAAACTTTTTGCATCGCGTTCATCTTTTTTCTTCTTTTCTCCACCATGGAGGAAAAAAAGGGGAAAGGTGACTGAACAAGTTTCTTCTGAACGGAACAGGCTGAATGATGTCACAAGAACGTCATCGATTATTAGATTATTACTGTAAGAAACCGGAGAAATTAATGGAGCCGCCCGGGAGTCGAACTTGGAATCCTTCGTTTTCCATATTTCTAGACTCACATCGAACAATAAGCCGTATGCCTACGACTATTCCACTACTCTAACTATTAATTCCGATCTCCTATCAATACATATTTGACTCATTATGGTATTATATATTCGTACTCGACCCCTTACGGCCTTATATTTTTACATTATTTCATTTATCACTTATATAAAGTTATGATGACGTCCTTATGTTACGCAGAAAAAAATATTCGAAAAATATTCTTGATAAGAAAAGTGATTATTTAATTTGATACTTTCTTTCTTTTAAACGATTACCTTTAATAAAGAATATTTTCTTGATAATAATCTTAAAATATATTTATAACAAATTTTAGAATAATTTATTAATGTGTACTCAAAACAACTATTTGTTTTTTTTTAACATTATAAATTATTTGAAAGAATGATTTTATGTAATAAGCAAATAGAATTTGGTTTAATTTAATAATCTTGATTGAAGTATTAAACTTAGGGCTCGGAATATATTTTTAATCATTTTGGTGCTTGTGATGAGGTTACAAAATTTAAAGATATATAAACTCTTGAAATATTTGAAACAAATAATTATTATTTGCAGTATGTATTTTTTTGTTATTTTATTTAGCTTATCTTCGATAATCTCGATTTAATTACTCTTTATCTTATTTAACTTTTGGAAAAAGATGAAAAATAAATTGAACCAAGATTAAAGTTAAGCTACATTGGTAGAAACGGGCATTATTCTTAAAACAAGAAAAAGATAAAAAGTAAACCGAGATTACAGTTAATCTATATTTGTACGAGTGGCATACCTACTCCAGTTTCGATTCTCAGCCGAGGTAACGAATATCTGCGGTTACTCTATATTCTATACTGTACGTGCGACGAGAGACACGATCGTCGTCGACTTCCCGTTTTTCGAGTTCGCAACGTTGTTGGCGAACTTGTTTTTTCCCATGTAGCCTAGTTCGCGTCTCTCGACTTGCGTCGCCACTTCGAGACGTAGATGTTTTCGAGACGGCGCGCCAGCTGTATTAATTCTTGATATTTCTGCGAGACAATGTTACGTAGACGTCAGATAACGATTCGCGTTCAATTCCACAATGAGACTTTCCACAACTTACCTCCTCACGTGCCGCACGCTCCCTTCTGATAGCGAATTCAATTGGTGCGCATTCAGTGCATACTACAGTTGTCGTACACAAATTGACATATAAAAGATATGTGTTCAATATAAAAACAGGTTAAACCGTGAAATCCTCAATACATTTTATTGTAAACTAAATTCGTGATGTCATATTATACTCAATTCGAATTATTTTTAATCATTTCTATGAGCGTCGCTGATTTTACCTAATATGTTAATTTCACGAAAACATTGAAGTTGAGCCATAATTTAAGAAAGTATATTAAATTTCACTCAAATTTAGTGTATTATTTACTAAATGGATATGTTAATATTGACGATGTTTACTTTGGAACTAACCACAGAAATGGATTAATTTACATTTTGACTCACATGGAAGTTAAAAAAAGCAAAATGTTATTTAACTTAAAATGATTGGGTTACCATTATTCCTTTCATATCTAATAGTGCATTGTTAAGTTAAATATGTATTATATAATTCGAAATATTTGCATTTCACTTTTACACTCAGATTAATCAGTGTACGACGACTTTAATATGCACCAGTGCGCAACCGAATTCGCTGTGAGTAAAGCGCTACTTTTCGCTACGACCGACGCGACACGGTGTCAGATGACGTGAGGCATTAGTCAAAAATGGCTCGAGCTATTTAAGTTTCTACAGATAGAATCGTAGAATCGTCCAAAGTCCGCTTCGTTTTCCCGAATTACATTATCATCGAGGGAAGTGACGCGACGTAAGCGTTCAAAGAAATAAGAAATCAAGAACACTTTCATTAAAACTTTATTTACGAGAGATACGTTTGATAACATACATATTTTCCTTTGTCGAGAACATGCGATAAACGAGGTCTGACCTTTTTAAGGTTGCGGCACAAAGCAGAGTCTCTCGTATATGTTTTCGATGCTCCATTTACAACCTCCATGTTTCACAAACGATCGCGCGTCGATACAGCATAACATTTTTCTATCGGTGAACCACGTGAGCGAGAGAGATATTGACGCGGTTGACTGGAAATCAAATTCTACATCTTTCACTTGCCAGGTGCGAGCGCACCTGCCAAGTCGAGTTATCCGAGGTCTATGCACTCGGACATTTTTTAAATACATTTTTGCACTGTCCTTAAAGAAATTTAATTAAAATATTAAATTAGTTAATTACTTATTTTGAGGATTAAAGGCACTGAAGTGCTTTCAAAATACTAAAAATAAGTAATTAAGCACTAACCCATTTAATACTTATTAAATTTTTTCACAGTGCTTTTAATATTTGAAATAAATAATCACTAATCAGTTCAATATTTATAGCAGTGATGCGCAATCTGCGGCCCGTCGGGTTATAGCTAAAAATATGGAATTATATTTTCTATTTTACAGCTTCTGCATATACGATATTATATATAAGTATAAATAATATCTATTTATTGTGTGTGTATATATACATATATATGTTTAATATACACATATATATATGTATGTACACAGGGTGAATCAGAATAGTTGAATCAGGTTTTTATCTTATGAGAAAATCATCGATTACACCACCTAATTATTGACTTAATGATACAAATCGGATTAAAAATGCGCCATTCTCTGTGCGCTCAGATTAGCAATTTGCACGTCGATGTACTCACGCATCTGATTTGTATTGTTAAGTCGACGATTAGGTATAAGGTCGATAATATATATTTTCTCGTAGGATAAAAAACTGATTCAACTACTTTGATTTACCCTATATATAATGTATATATTTATTTTATTAGACTGTCAAGGAAAAACAAAATTTTTTTGTAATCGGTCACTTAGCTCAAAAGTTTACATTTCATGTCAAAAGAACACCCCTAAATTTTTATCAAAAGATATTAAGATTTAAAGGTCGCTAGTGAACGATTTTTAATCACAGTTTCGATTGTCCTTAATACATATTTAATTTGATGCAAAAATAACTTAATCCGAATTTCAAATATCGTATACTGTATGTTTTTTTAATTGCTGAACACGATGCAATAGTTCATTTAACCCTACCATATATGCCTTAAGAACTACAACCCGATTAATATAAAAAAATGACACAATTTGAACGCTTGAGACCTTGCTAAAATCGACCTTGAACTCGAAATTTGGTCATTTTTTCACATTAATCGGGTTGTATTTCTTAAGGCATATATCGTAGGGTTAAATGAACTATTGCATCGTGTTCAGCAATTAAAAAAACATACAGTATACCATATTTGAAATCCGGATTAAGTCATTTTTGCATCAAATTAAACATGTATTAAGGAAAATCGAAACTTTGATTTAAAAATCGTTCACTAGCGACCTCTAAATCTTAATATTTTTTGATAAAAATTTAGGGGTGTTCTTTTGACATGAAATGGAAGCTTTTGAGCTAAGTGGCTGACTAAAAAAAAAATTTTTTTTTTCTTGGTAGTCTAATATACATATATTTATATATACGCTACCGAGAAATAGACATTATGTGGCCCGCAAAATTTTATCCTAAATCTAAAAATAGCCTTTAATTTAAGAAAGATGCGCTTACTTATAGACATCATTGATTTATGGTATCAGTATTATTATATAATTTATTCATTAAGAGTTGGTTAAGTGGGGGGGAGGGGGGGGAGTCAGCTAGACAAACGTTCAAATTGACACGTGCAGGCATTATCATTCGTCCATTATGATAATTATTAATTAATCATTCTTATCGTGTATGTGTGTGTGTGTGTGTGTGTGTGTGAATATTAAATTTAAATAAATTATTTAATTTGAATACTGAAAATTTTATCGAGCTATTCCCATGGCAACTCTAGTTAACGATCGGTAATTTCGAAATTCCCGACAGCAACGTGCTCGCACGTTCGTCGTTTCTATTTCATAAGCTAACCGACACGTCTATACTGTCGCTATGCGTTGCAAATATTTACCCTAAATTCGTACGCCAACAGCAATCGTATAGTATTTTAATCAGTATTTTGGCTGTCTGTATTGCCGCAAATAATCGAGTTATCACTTTATTCGTGATCTATGTAATAAGATTTATTTGATTTAAAGAAATCACGATTTGAACGTCATTTCTTGGATTTAAACATTATTCTTTAAATTAAATAAATTTTATTTGATTTAAAAAACTGTGTTTAAATCAAAGAAATTTTTTCACAAATCAAGGAAATTTTTTCTTTAACCGTATAGCAAAGAAAATTTCTTTAAATCGAAGCAACCTTTTCTCTGGATATTGCTTTGGTACCACTCTGAGTGTAGA